AAGCGCATTTGCATGGCCCAAAATCCACTCGAGAAGTCTTCCGGTCTTCGCCCTATCGTTCCGGCCCTCGTCCCGGAACGGAAAAGCGGGGATCCCGCCCACTACAAGCAATTATGAGCGGCGGACTCGGAGAGTTTCCAAAGAAGCCATTTTCATGCGCTGTAAAGCCCAGATGGTTTCAGCATAATAACGAAGAGGCTCTAAAAGGGTGAAAAACCGGAAGGCGAAATTTTGCCGGGGCTGCCTTTGACGTGAAATGCTGCTTTTACTCAACAGATACGTTTTTGCTACGTCCTGTAAATATTATAGTGTGGACCCCGGCCAGTCCCACATGTACCTCCGCAGCGCATACGCAACGCGCACTATTGATGCTTCTCGTCCCATATGAACGAAAACCATTTCTATTATAAGTTAAGATAGGAGTGAGACAAGAAGTGGAACCCACTGTTCTCACTTCGAGAAAAACTTAAAGGCAGCGTCCACCCAGAATTTGGTCCCCCATGTTTTCGTCATTCTGGGGCCTTTCCGTGGCCCAGATTACAGTCCCGAACTTCAAATTCTCTAAATTTTACAAAAAACCCGATTCTTGGGGACCCAGTCTTGAGGGCACGGACGAGTTTCGAATTGCTCGTCCCCGTCGGCAGGCCAGCGGGAAGGAGCTGCAACTGCATGGGTGCAGTTGCATTGCAATGTGCAGTGTGCAGCTTCTGCTCACTACCTTGTCAATACGTGTCGGGAGGCACGTATTGACAAGGTAGTGAGCAGTCCCTGGTGGGCGGAGTCTGATATCAGACTCCACCCAGCCAGGGACTTTCAGCCCCCTTATCTCCATTCAGAGACAACGTTAGAAGACCAGACCAATGCAGATGCCCCCTTTCTGGGGCCTACATTCAGGACCGGCACTAATCGGAGGGGGTTAGGTTTAGCCTGGACACTGCCTTTAAGCAAAAAAAAACTCTTCCAACTTCCACTAACACTTGGTTCCTTGTCATTCTCATGCATACTAGTATAAAACTACCACTGATGGGTGAAAATCGTAGGATTAGCGGGAAGAGGATTACTTTTGGAACGTTACTCTTCTGCAATCAATGAAGAACTAGAAGCATAAGCTGGAGAGCGTAATTACATAAGCTGAAGCTTCAGTGCCGCATTGAAAAGGAACTAAAAGGTTTAGACAAAACAAACTCAATCGGATAGATACGTTTCTATACAAAACAAATTCAATCGAATAGATACGTTTGGTCCGTGGTAGAAACCCTGAAGAAATCTCTTTAAAATATACCTAATCCTCATTGTGGAGGAAAAAAAACGAGAGCTTTTGAAACAGAAGCTCTCAAGACTTTTGAGCCTTGTAAAAACTTGTCATCATCAGCTGGTGTGGTTCGTTTAACCCTGAAAGAAAAAGATTACAGAAAAAACAAAGTCAATAAAGAGAGGAGCGCATATAAACCAATAGGTCCTGGGACGAAAAGAGCACTGGAGGCATGCGCTGCGTTCGCGGCGCTGAGGTACATAGGGAAGTTGGCCGGGTCCACACTATATGTTCGATATGAAAATTTTTTGTGATGCTATTATAAAACACGTTATTCATAGAGAAAGGACACTGTGTAAGGACATAGTTTCCAAAACATACTGTGAAATGGTTTTTATGAACGAAAAACTTTCGCGCCTCTAGCTTCTCGATTCATTAATTCCATCAGACACTATGACTTCTACGCAAAGCTATAAAGAAACACTTATTGATCTGGATAGCTGTCAAAATTAGTTGTTCAGCTATCAAGACAACCTGCAGGAGACGTCCGCAAGCGTGGAACAATCAGCGCGACCGCATTAATGCGCCATGTTAAGGATTGACATAGGAAATGTGATAGCGAATACAACGATTTACCCTTCTTAAGCGTCCCTCAATGCTCGGCAAGCTGGCACTGGGTCAAGCTGAGTACCGTCTTTTGCACAGATAGCAAAGGTGATATCGTTATATTTATATTCGAAATTTGAAATCTTTTTCCGAACTATAGAATAATTTAATATATTCGAAATTCAAAACACCGAATAATTTTCCAATATTTTCAGAAGCAAAAATTTTGAATATCCGACTATCGAATATTTTCGAAAATCAAAAACTCCGATTAATCGAAATCGACTATTTTCGAGATATGAAAATCGTCGAATACTTGAATAATTATTGAAAGCATAGGGTGCTGCATGACGAAGTCGCAATATCTTTCGGCGCGAACGCGGCTTCATTAGCCGCAGAGCGCATGAGCGCAGGATTTACAACAGCGAAGATAAGCAAGCGCAGTGTTCGCGCCCGCTCAACTAATACTGCTTCTGCGCCTTCGTCATGCGAGAACCTTTGCCAAAATGAGAAGATTTCTCCTTTCTGTTATACACTGGTAAGTCTACCGGCTCTTATCAGTTCCATCATGACTTGAATTCAAGAGTCTCATACATGACTTATAATTACGTCTGGAATAGCAATGAGTGTCAAGACGTCCTG